TCAGGAGAAGGTGTCCCACCATGGAGTCCGGAGTAAGGCAGGTCTATCCAGGAACCTTGTGAGAAGAAATGAGGGGTTCCTGTGGGGCCCCTCATGGGGCTGAGTGCTCTGGACTGGTGCTCCATGTGCTCCCACGTACACAAGGGAGACACCCCACCCCAGGCCAAGTAGGCCAAGTGAGGAGCATGCAACCCCTTGCAGCCTGTCACCTGCCCCCACGTGTATATAGGGAAAGCTATAGAACTCACCTGAAGTGCCTACCCCGGGATTGTCCAAGGCCTGGGAGACATCCTGGGTGGGGGGGGGGGAGAACTGGCTCTCTAGGGTGAGGAGTAGGTCCTGGCTGGCAAGCATGGTCACCTAGTTGTCAGCCTCCTCCTCCTCTTCTTGTCCACAACCCTGCCCTCGTGGAGGCTGACACCATGTGGGTCCTGGCCAGACTCGGGGAGCATGTGGATTTAAAGGATAGGTTACAAACCATAGTTAGTAGTTCTGAAACTTCACATTTGAGCTCTTTCAGAACCCTTGAATAACTGCCATCAGGGGTAGCCTGTGAGCCTACATGAGCTAGGCAGCTGCCTAGGGCACCGCTGGCCCGGGCACCCTATGATGACCTCATGGCCATTGATGGCCGTTAAAGCAGGGGCGCTGATTGCGCCTCCCCGCCTAGGGCACCAGCTGCTGCAGCTGGCCTCGGGCCGCTCCTGCCTGTTGGAGCTCTTTTATTTTCATCCAGACTTGGTCCAGGTGTAGCCTTTGTCAGCCAGGCTGGTAGCCATCTGGCTGTAGATGTCGGGATTCCACTTTCTGGTGCAGAGATCCTGGAGGTTGGTCTCCTCCCCCCAGACCTTGATGAGGTCCAGCATCTCCGCACCAGTCCAGGCTGGAACTCTCCAGCATCTCTGTCCAGTGGCAGCCGAGGGAGCAACAGGAGTGCTGGCAGCTGTGGGAGGTTCTAAGGGAGCACTGGGGTCAGCCATGGCTCTGTTAGATGCTGCTGTATAGCATGGGGCTTGCTAAGCTGGCCACGTGACACACACCCTGCAGCCTGGAGTTTTAAGCTCAGCAGGAGAAGGGGAGCAGTGGAGCGGGCAGGTGTGGCCAGAGCAGTTACAAGTGCGGCTTTAAGAGGCCTCTAGAGGCCAATTATTTCAAATTAGCAACACCGGATTGTCCACACTTCTGCTATTTCAAAATAACAATTTCAAAATAAGCATTATTCCCTGAGGAAAGTAGGAGTACAGATTTTTAAATAACCAGTCTTTATTTCAAAATAACGGGCATGGTAGTGTGTATACAATGCTTATTATTTCAAAATAAGGGGGGTTATTCTGAAATCACTCCCTAATATAGAACAGGGCTGAGAGACCTCCTTCCCCTCCAATACCATGACTCTGCATGAAAGCTGTTGTCCACCAGAATGATCACAGAACCAATAGTAATAGAGATGTAACCGTGTTAGTCTGGTCTAGCTGAAACAAAAGACAGGACTATGCAACACTTTAAAGACTAACAAGATAGTTTATTAGATTATGAGCTGTCACCTTAAGATTCATGCTTAAATTTGACACTTTATGCCTGGGTCTTAACAAAGATGCTAATTACCTTACCCATTACAAAGATAGCTTCCCTAATTATCACCTCTATTATCATTAGCTCACAGACATTAATCTCCCTCCCCCCCCTCTGTTCTGAAATTTGATTTGTCCTCTTTAAATGTGTTCACTTTTTTTGATTGTATCCCTTTGGTATATATGGTCATGCCAATTTTCTTCCACAATTTGATCTGAGGAAGTGGGTCTGGCCCACGAAAGCTCATCACCTAATAAACCACCTTGTTAGTCTTTAAAGTGCTGCATATCAATCACTTTCTGAATCAAGAGCAAAACTCATTTATTTGGTTTAGCTTTCCTTCAGTTTCTCCATGCACAAGCCCATAGAAACACAATGCACCAATTCAAACCCAAACAAGTAAAAAATCTATACATTAATCAAGTGCTTCTTCTATAAGAAGAGAGAATGAGGTAGAGATTTATTTCTACCTACTATATATTTGAGAGAATTTGTCTGTTTCTTTAAGAACTGCTCCTAAATGTTAAGAGCTAGGACCACCAGATTCAGTATATAGCTTCCTCTTATCATTATCTAAAGCAAAGTAAAGGTTTGGTTGTGCTGGGAAAATGAGATGTACTGGAATGGGATTGTTTCTCCTAAAACCATGCAGAAAAGGAGCAGGCTGGTGATGTGTCTCTCTACCCTCCATCCAGAACTCCCTTAGCCCTGATCCTCCCACCCCCAGGCACCCTTTAGGGAGGGCTGAAGCTCCCTCCCAATTCATATGGGGACATCTCTGGCTGATCCCCTTTGTCAGAGAGTGAGGCAAAATGGTAGTTTCTTTCCTCTGGCTGGGGAGCACAGGGGGGCAGACAAACCGAGACTTGCCCCAGTCCGGGGACATGCACACATCTCCCAGCTGTGCCCGCTGGAGCAGCATTGGCCATGGAGGCACTTCTCACTTTGCGCCAAGCTACTGTGGTGAGAGAGGACTGGGGTAGTGCCCTCTCCGCAGGACAGCCCGCATACTGAACCCCTCATCCCGAACCGCACCTCAGAGTAATGATTTAAATGAAACATGTACTCTTTGTTTTATTTTCCAAAACCCCAAAATTACTTGAGTTAAGGAACCAAGTAATGCTGGGAAAATCTTATAGTTTTAAATACTTGGCAGCGCTAGACTCTAAGGCTGTGTCTACACTGGCATGAATTTCCGGAACTGCTTAAAACGGAATACTATTCCATTTTCAGTTTTTCCGGAAAAGGAGCGTCGACATTGGCAGGCTGCTTTTCCGGAAAAGCGTCTGTGGCCAATGTAGACGCGCTTTTCCGGAAAAGAGCCCCGATCGCCATTTTCGCTATCGGGGCTTTTTTCCGGAAAAGACTGCTGGGCTGTCTACACTGGCCCTTTTCCGGAATAAGGACTTATGCCCGAGCGGGAGCAGAATAGTTTTTCCGGAATAGCGGCTGATTTTGTACAGTAAAGCGTCGTTGCTTTTCCGGAAACTCAAGGGCCAGTGTAGACAGCTCGCAGCTTATTCTGGAAAAGCGGCTGATTTTCCGGAATAAGTGGCCCAGTGTAGACACAGCCGGCGAGTATGTCTACACAGCAAAGGTATTTTGAAATAACTTTCCTAGTGTCTACACAAGCCAACTGCTATTTTGAAATTAATTTGAAATAATGGAGAGCTTATTTTGAAAGTGGTAAACCTCATTCCACGAGGAATAACGCCAATTTCAAAATTGCTATTTCAAAATAAGTGCCATGTAGATGCTTATTTCAAAATAGGGGGCCTCCAGCCCTTCCCAGGGTGCCCTGCCACAAGGTAACTTCTGACCTGATGCCCTGCTGGAACCAGTTCTGGCTGGCCTTAAATGCGATTCAGCGTCCAATCTGTGTGGACACTCTATTTCAAAAAAGCAAAAAGCTATTTTGAAATGCATTTTGTGTGTAGACACATTATTTTGAAATAAGATATTTCAAAATAACTATTTCGAAATTAGATATTTCGAAATAACACTGTAGTGTAGACATACCCTAAGTGAAGTGTCACCTAAGTATCTTGATATGTGTTGCTATAAAGAGTACACAATCACTTCCCTTGTTTAAAGAGGTGTTGACCCTCCCTGCTCAGAGAGGGGTAAGTGGAATGTAGGTTCCTGTGTGGCGTCAACGAAACTAAAATTATATAAAACACGCTCCCTCTGAGACCCTCTCTGCTGCATTCCTGAGTCACCAAACTGATAACTAACTCTTCTCCCTCTCTTTTCCAGCTCCATCCCACAACCCTTGTTACCACCCTATTAGGCCTGACCAAGTCTTCAGCCTACTGCCATCTTCTAAGACCCAGCGCCGAACTCTTGGCTCTCCTCTTATCCACTGGGGTCTCTCTCTTTTAAATCCTGGCTTTTCCTAATTCTGTTTTTCCCTAGAGATGGCATGTGGGAAGTAATGCATTAAATTCCTATGACTGTTCCACACCTTCTGGGAGTATGCTAGCTGAGGGGCTGTGTTGCGTTGGCTCTTGGCACAGACAGTGGTTAATTAATACAAAGTGCTGCATATAGTGGTGCTTGGTCTCAACACAGCCCACAGCTCCTTTGTTCTTTGTCGTCTTTTGTTTCTCTGTCTTCATTACTGCCTTGTTTTTCCTCCACGCAGGCCTGGTTAATCTGCATCACTTACTGAAACTTTGTTTTTGTGTTAACACTAGCCAACTGTTTTGCCTTCTAGTTACAAACATGCAAATGAATCAAATATGACTTTAGCCCTCTTTTCTCTGGGTTATGATGTGTTTTTGATATGGGCCTCACCAGTGAATCAAAAGTGAAATCCCAGTAGTAGATAAGGAAGGAGTCATGGTATCATATTTACTATTGTTGCGTGCCACAGCAAAAAAAGCAAATATTAGCTGGTTACTCTTGTTTTAAAAGTATCCACCCTTCCACTGCAGCAATTACACATGTCATGAGTGGACATGATATTGTCTGGCTAACATTAGTTCCTTAACTTCTCAACTGTAGGTTGGCGTTCTAGGAGACGAGGAAGAATGGGTGAGTCTGTATGAGGTGGAGAATGAACCTGATGCCCAGATGCTAGAGATACCAAACCTCATTCCATACACTTATTACAGGTGAGAACAGCTGGTAATTAAATGTGGCATCAGCAGCCTAGACAACTCTAGCATGGAACAGCTTTTCCATTCATAAGCAAGCCATTTGCAAGATGAAAGACAAAAATTCCCAAACCATCATAGTATACACTGAAACCAAACTGTTTAGTGCATTTAAATTTTAATCTATGCATAGTAGAATAACTAAGTGTGTTGCAAAGGGGAATAAAAACGACTACATGGTACTATTGAGTAACTTGACCATGAGACCTTGTCTATATGGAACGCATGCACCAGTTTATTTAAACCTGATTACAAATTGGTCTAGTTAAACCAGCACACTCTCCCAATATCTATACCCTTACATCAGTGTAAAGATGCTTCTGTTGATTAAGCTTAATTTGATAATTTAAATTGGTTAAAAGATTTTCTTATAGGAATTCACCAAATTAAGATAAATCAATATATGTAAAGTTTAAATCAAATGTAGTGCATCGTTTAATTAAACTGATGCAGTTTTCAAGGATAGACAAGGTCTAAGAATGGAGATGGAAAATGCCTCCATGAAATAATGTACTGATAAAAAAAAATAGTAATTGGGGACTTCTGGGAGCCAGGGCAAAGCAGTCTGCTACAGACACTGTTCACTTTCACACCACAGACAGGTCTGTTACCTGGCTAACAGATACCATGTGTTGCTAAGCAATGAGATACAAACAAGGTGAAGACCTTAGAATTTGTAATTCATTCTGTGCCTGTGCACTAATTTTCTTGACTTTAGTAAAAACCACCAGAGCATATTGGATTTTTCTTCACCAGTAGAGCATATTACTACTCAGTTTTATACGATACATATGAACCTGCCAAGAATTTCTAAAAGCTGTTTCACGGATGTGGGAGATTTATATTATGGCAATTTTAGAAAAAAATGGATTATCAGGATGTCTTTGTAGCTTTTCATGATGGCAGTGGATAGTCATTGGGCCAAGGAAAGGGAGTAGGAAGGATTCCATGGCTCGGTAGTTAAAGCACTCATGTAGGATGTGGAAGGTACAAGTTAAAATCCCTGCTTCAAGGACTCTTTAAATGTTTGTATAAAAGGGCAGTTTCAAAAGGAGTGACTGAGAGAGCTTCATTCCAGAATATTACTTCACAGTGGAGAAGCCCCTCTTTGGTACTGGAGGAGATCCATGCTTTATTCCTGTCTCCTTGTTAGGCCTGGGCGAAACTGAGCCCAGGTCTCCCCGATGCCAGCTCCAGACTAAAGAGATGTAGCAGGACCAGCACCTCCTCCTCTGTGAATCTAGCCCTCTTTTCCTTTTGTCAAAATTCCTGAAAAGCTAAACAGAAACTTTGCCATAATGGTTCATGGATGTTCAGTTCAATCTTTTCAGTTTCCCAAACATTTTTAAAAAATCAGTTTTGGTTTGGTTCAAAACCATTTACCTCAAGTTGCTTGCAAAGCAAATTTTCACCCAGCTCTGGTCATATGATTATTAAAAGAGATAAATTTCCTAGCTGTCACCAGATTCTTGAAGTACAGGTTGAACCTCTCTTGTCTGGCACTGTAAGGACCTGACCAGTGCTGAACCATGGGAGGTCAATATTGTCAAGCAGTATTACCAATAATTCCACTGTTTACTGAAGACATTTAGCGGAAAATTAGAGCTAAATAACAGCACTGAACACTGAGAGCAAGGTCTGGTAGCTATAAACAAACTTTGAAACTGCGGGAAACTTGGCCACATCTATGAGAAGTGGACATCTGGCTAACTAAAATCATGCCAGACCATGGATGTTGCCAGACCAGAGAGAGCCAGACAGGGTTTCCTATAAGGTGCGCCACTGTGCAGGTGTGCACCAAGAATTTCATTCCTGCCCACCCCCTCATCAGAGCTGCACAGCTGCGGACCCAACTGCTTCTGGGGCGGGGCTATGTGACAAATGACTGCCCACCCCAGGAACCTGAGTGGTGGCTGCCAGAGCTGGAGCCTGGGCCGTGGTACTAAAAATAGCACTGCAGCCCATCTCCAGTCCTGACACATGAGGCAGCTGTCCGCTGCATGGCCCAGCCCCTGGGAGCAGCTGGGGCTGTGGCTGCATGGCAACTGTTGGGGCCGGAACTGCGGTACTAAAAATAGCACTGCAGCCCTGGCATGAATCCAAGCACAGAGAGGATGGGGAGGTGGGGCAAGTCCCAGGAGGACTGATGGGAGTGAAAAGGGCAGGAGCCAGGACAGCAGAGGAGGGTGAGGGATTTTGGGGGGCAGCAGCAGGCACCAGGGGAGCAGACAGGGTGAGGGAAGGGTGAGAAACATGGCAGCAGAGAGGCAAGGAGAGGGGATTATAACTTGGGTGCCATGGTGGCACACATCTTAACAAGTACACATGACCTCAGTATTGGTGCACAAGACAAAACCCACTCTGCTCATGGATGGAAAATCTTAGTGGAAACACTGGTGCCAGACTAGAGAGTTTCAACCTGTCTTGTCTTGTCAGGAGAGGTGCAATGCTATAACCAGAGCTTGAGGAGGGAGCCTTTTGCACTCCTTAATCTGGTGGATGGGGTGCAACTCAGATTTAAGTCTTTGCTCAGCCTGAAGCATAGTGTTCTCTTGTCTTGTCAGGAGAGGTGCAATGCTATAACCAGAGCTTGAGGAGGGAGCCTTTTGCACTCCTTAATCTGGTGGATGGGGTGCAACTCAGATTTAAGTCTTTGCTCAGCCTGAAGCATAGTGTATTGGGATTTCAAACTCTGCCTTGAGTAAGAGAGGGGTTTTAAAATTTGAGTCTCCCGCATTCCTTGCCAGTGCTCTGCTATCAGGCGACCTTCCTGCTCACTCTGACATTTCAAAGCAATTCTATTTTTGTGGAAAAAATTGGAAATTTCAAAACCAAAAATATGGCTGCAAAAGACTGATCATTCCTCCTGTTAGTTCTAGTTACAGCATGCTGAAAGGATAAATCATGAGTGCTAATTATCAGTTAGACATTCTGTTTCAATTGAGCTTCTTTTGCCAATGTTTGAGTATGAAATCAGGGATGGTGTTTGTTTGATGTATTGCCTTTAATGCACTTCCTAAAGTGATCAAAGCAGATAGATAAATGGTGCTACATCATCTAGCTCAGCCTTTATCCACGTCCAGTCATTAAAGACAGATTTCTACTGTTTAATATAAACAAGTTGAGCAGCTACATGGTAGCCTCAAATATTTGGAACTGAAAGCCCCCCCCCGTGTTTGTCACTAGTCGGTATCTGAAGCCTCCAGCAAGTCTTAACTTTTTTGTGATTCCTTATGAAGTTGAAAAAAAGGCTTTCGTGCCCTTTTAGGAACTCCTGCTGTAGAAGAGATCATCTGGAGCAAACAGGATGACTTTTAAGCTGTGTATTCATATTAAATAACTTAATTATTCTTCTGCCTGAAAGGAAACAAGGCAGTCCTCAGAGATGTATCAGCCCTCTTTGAACTGATCATTGAAGGGAACGATAGCTGATGCATTCCTGATATTTGCAAGGACACTATGGTATATAGATACAGATGTTCATAACACTCTTTGGGTGTGTCTACACTTCACCCGTAACTCGAAATAAGCTACGCAATTTCAGTTACACAAATTGCATAGCTAATTTCAAGTCAATTTTGAAATAGCTTATTTCAAAATCTGGTGGTCTACACAGCACTTATTTCAAAATAAATTGCTATTCCAACACCTACCTTACCAATGTAGACGCGCTTTTCCGCAAAAAAGCCCCGATCGTCATTTTCGCGATCGGGGCTTTTTTGCGGAAAAGAAATCTGTGCTGTCTACACTGGCCCTTTTCCGGAACAGTTTTCCGGAAAAGGACTTTTGCCCGAACGGGAGCAGCATAGTTTTTCTGGAAAAGCACGGATGATTTTACAGTAGATTGTCAGTGCTTTTCCGGAAATTCAAGGGGCCAGTGTAGACAGCTGGCAAGTTATTCCGGAAAAGCGGCTGATTTTCCGGAATAAGTGGCCAGTGTAGACACAGCCCTTGTGTAATACTGATTACAGAGACGTCGAAAAAATGAGCATATTATATTTCAAAATAACGGGCATGCTCAAAAGGCGTGGAATACCAGAGATATCCTGAAATAGCACTGCAGTGTAGACGTAGCCTTTCTGAATGTAACATGAAGGTATCTCAAGGGAAAAAAAATCAGTAAATGCTGGCATAATTGCCTCAAATTTGGTATAGAACACAATCTCCTTACATTGCCTATCTGTGTTTCTAATAGACACAAACTCAGTGTAATTTTGAGGATCTTGCTATTATTACAGTAGTGGACTTAGTTATGAATGCAATGGGCACTCACATCTCTCATTGATAAAGGCCTGATTTTCTTTCATATCGGCGTCATCCTGAGCAAGAAATAGCATTTGTTCGATTTTAGGTTAGCTTTGTTTTGGAACATATTTCACCGTGATTTCCTTATGCTTTAGATTCCGCATGAGACAGGCGAATATCGTGGGCCAAAGCCCACTCAGCCAACCATCTCGAGTCATCCAGACACTACAAGCTCCACCAGACATTGCACCAGGGAGCCTTACTGTACGCACAGCCAGTGAGACTAGCTTGTGGATCCGCTGGATGGTGAGTTAATGTAAATTAGAAAGTCGGGGGAGATGCTGACATTTGAGCTGTCCGTTTCCCTGGAGAATGTATCTAAAGTTCATTAATTCATTTTTTCGATATATTTGACCCGAAGAGCAGTAGCAAAAACATTCCCTTGCCCAAATAGTCTTGAAATCTGAGATTTAACTGTTTTACTAATCACTTCAATTCTCCCACAAGGCAAATATACTCCTTGTATAAAAGGCCAGAGATGCTAGTGCCTTGGCTTTTGAGGCTCTCCACTTCCGTTAGCTTCTCCTCAGCTTCAGTCAGCTCATATAAACAATATAAATACTTGAGCTAATTTGCTGTTTTGTTCTGCAAAGTTCTTCACTGAATTTTAGTCACTAAAGTCTGGTGATCTTGCAGATACTGATATAAAGAGATGGGCTGGGAGAGGGCCATTGAAGATCGTTTTTAAAAAATGGTCACTTGAAGATGAAGAGATGTTGAAATGAGCCGTGTGTAGGAGAACAACAGCAATCTATAACAATGATAAATTGTTAATGAACTAAAATTGTAATAAGTTATATGCTTCTCCTGAGTTACACTGACATGTATCTAGAATAACAACCTTTATTTTTAGAGAGTTACTCTGGTTTTATTCCAATAGAGTATTTCCATATATACCTACATACCACCTGTGTGGAAACTGTTTCCAGGTGATCGATTGCAGAGCTGTGTGATAAATTGCGGAATCAGGTGATTAATTGCAGAGCTATTCACAAATTAATTTACCATGTAACTTTGACTGCTTTAGTTGCCTGCAAAAATATCTCACTGGGATTCACTCTAATATTCTAACTCCCTTCAAATAGTTGCCTTTCTAAATTATTAATCTACCCCCAAAATAGTTCCTCTTCCTGCTGCCCTCCCACCCCCACATGTGACTAGCTAGGAGCAGTAGTCCATTGAAAAGGTGAGAGTCCAGCTTCCAAAACTCACTCAGAACTTGTCTGGTCCTTCACTGGCTGAGATATCAGTCTTATAAATGAGACATTAGTATGTATAGAAGAGCTATTATAGTTCATTTGGTCTTTGACCTATATAATTCATTTGTGGCTTCATATAAGCGTAACATACTCATCCCTATCCAATGCTGTCACATCTTCGTAGTATATCACACCTTCATATCTCTGGTCAGTGCTCTGATAATTCAAGAGCATTTTAGGGGATTTTTTAAACTTTCATTAGGACTGTTTTGTATTCATCCACCTGTAAAGCTAAATGTCTTCGTTACCATGAGACCAGCAGTGCAGAGGTCAGAGAGAACCACACAAATACATCTAAAAATGACCCAGTTTAATAATGTCAGTATTTTAAAGTTTGATATTTCTGCCCTTCAAGGCCGACAAGTGAGTTCTGTGACCCTTTGGGAACTTCTTTCCAACTGAATGAAGTTTACATTTCTAGTCCTGCTGGGCTGCAGGATAGAATACTTTAAAGCTATGAAATGTTAATGTACAACAAAACCTGTTACTGAAGCAGTGTTGAATATTGCTCATACTTGGTCTCCTCCAGATACAGTTTTAAGGGGGAAAATCCACACTTGGGTGGAGCAGGTGATGACATTTCTGGGGCAGGTCAATTTTTCTTTTAAGTGTCTGAATCTGTTCAGGGAACTGGAATGTTAGAATGAATCCTAGTTAGATGGATTGATAGGCAGAGGGCCAGTGAAACAGTCTGAGGTGCATGATAAATATATCACATGGCTCTGTAATTTATCAGTCGTTTCCACATTTTATCCCATGGTTCTGTAATTTACCAGTTTGCTATTACCTCCACAAATGTGGAGTGAGCGATGTATCTATGTGTGGGTGGGACAGAGAGAGGTGGTGGTTGCTATAAGATAATTAGGTAGTGTGGCATGCAAAAAATAAAATAATATCATGTACAAAATAAAAATGTTATAAATGGTAAACAAAACAAATTAACCCTCAACCTCTCACACACGCCCCAAAATTTTCTTACTTTCTTGGAGTATTTGTTAAATATATGAATACAAAAGGCAATGCCATATGATTTGAAAAGCATAGCCCACCAATTCCATGCAATAATTTTGTGCTCCTCTTACTATTAATGGCCAGCCTCTCCCTGACGCTCAATATAATGGCAACCCGGAATCAGTGGGTTACAGGATAAAATTGTGGCGAGTGGATCTGCAGTCTCCAGTGCTCATGAAGATAATCAATGACCGACTGGAGCGGGAATATACTATTGAGGATCTGGAGGAGTGGGTAGAATATGAACTGCAGATTCAGGCCTTCAATGCCATTGGAGCAGGACCATGGAGCGATGTGGTGAGAAGTTGCACACGGGAGTCTGGTAAGTCCCTAGAGCATATGTGCTTCTGAAAAGAAGGGGCATGGTGCATTTCAGCATCTTCAGCACTTCCCCTCAACCTTTGTTTCTTGCAGATCTACTAAACCTAAAAGTGTAAATTATGGATTCATTGATGATTTTTTAAAAGACACATCGAGAAGCCAGAAAGCCTGTTGGGGAAGGTTTTAAATGAAGTAGACAGTGACCAAAGAGATAACTAATGATCTGAGCTATGAGTGCCACATTCCAAAATTGTGCCCATAGATCTGCATGTGTGTAACCCATGTATGCACATTTTAACAAGCATGTAGAACTTGTACTATCTACCTGATCTGAGTATGCAGCTATTACACTAGTTTAGAGACATTCCAGTTGCCAGAAGAAAGCAGTCTCTACAATATCAAGGCATCAACAAGTAACTGGTAACTCTGTAGCAACAGCTGAAGATAGCTCTTGCAAAGCTGTTAGCTAAGGGAACTTCAAACAAAACCTCTTTTTCAGACCCAGCCTGCATGCTTCTGTTGTAATTTGATTTTATATTGCAGTTGACTAATTAGAAGGAGTGACCCTATTTGGATAAAATATTTAATAGTAAAAGTAAATTATTGTTGCATGTGACCAGTATTTAAACAATGCTCATGTTTTGTTTTCCTTCAAAGTCATTTAAATTTGAGTGCTTTAAAGCTTAATTCTGTACATGCTGTGAGCGTGTATGCACATCTGAGTGTTATATAAAGATAGACAATGTGGAAAAACTACCAACAGCAGCAACAGGTACTCAGGACCTTGCAAGATTTGGTCTATGCTTGAAGCAACTAAGCTTTGAACTAACTAAAGGTAAAAAGCTAAACAAAATCTTTGAGCCCCTCTCTTTTAAAGTGTTGGGTTTCCTAATAATTGGAATGCTATTGCTGAGAGGGATTTTAAACAAGACCTGTTTGGTAATGGAGGTTGAGATAGTAAGACCCAGAATCAAATAGTTTTGAAGCACCCTGTATCATTATAAGGAGATAACTGCATTTCCTCTTTTCTCTATTGCAGTTCAAACGATTCCTCTGAAAAATAGCAGATAGTAAGATTAAGTAGTTTCATAAATCCTTGGGGTTATAGTGGTCCAAATCATCCATTTAAAAATCAAAGGTTCTATGTGTATATGTCAGCACTTTCTCTCCCAATATCAAAAAAAAAAGATTTAATTTGGCAAGTGATTCCAGAAAACTAAATAATCAAAACGGTCCTTATGTGTGCACTGATTTCGACCATAAGGATTAGTTTGTTTTCCATGTAATTTCTTCTGTATTTGTATGTGTTAGAATAAAGCATTTTGGTGCATGGTAAAGGGTCATATATTAGGCTATACTTTTTTCAGATATGGGTGGAACAACATACTGTGTTGAAAACAAAAAATTCAAAGCTGAAATTAACTTGGCAGGCCTTGTATTCATGAGCATGGCTGGGTTAAAGTGTGAGTAGGGTTATACCTAAAGCCAGAGAGAAGGGTGGGCCATTCAACACAAATGCAAGTCCCATCAGCAACTACTTTCAGGGAGTGAGCAAAATAGTAATACTTACCAGTTAGACAGAGGTGTATATTCTCACAATGCCTTACAAAACTTTTCCCAACACTCCTATGAGGTAGGTAGGACTTGGGTAAGAATTAAAATCCTGTATTACAAATGGCAAGATTTAGGTTGATTTTTAATTAGAATTGTGGGTGTTCATCACTCTTGACAATCAGGCCAAAGTTGACTCATCCAAGGACACACAGTGGCAGAGCCAAAACTATATTAACTCCCATTGCAGAGCTCTTCACCATTAGCCCAGGATGGCAGTCTGAGACGTGAGCTCCTGCACTACATTTGCTCTTGGTATCCTATATATTAGTGCAGCTGGGTGCATCCATGGTCTTTATTAAAAAAGAAAAATTGCATCTGGATGACTGTTTATTCTAAGAGGTGTGTTTATGTCACCGTTAGCTGAGCACACGTACTAACAATAAGTTGCATGTCACTGCAGCTACTCTGTCTTTTAATGCAATTCATTATGAAGAAGGCTTGAGGCAACCAAACAGACTGAGCATGGAGAAATAATACTGGGATTGATGGGGGATGGCTTAGGAACAGACCGCAGGAAGGATGAACAAAATGAAAGGAAGATCCACACCCTGGGTACAAGAACGAGAAGTTGAAGGGGGGAGAGAGATAAATTTAGGCTTCAAAAAGGAGAGATTTTATTGATCTGAAATGTTTTCATACTCTGGGAACTTAAATAATTCAGTTCATTTCACTGTGTAATATAATCACAGAATGACAATTTACACACTGTTTCCACTTATTGTGATGGGAATTGGTTTGCAGAATTATATATTTCAACTACAGAAATGCTAAATAGTCCATAACAGTGTTCATACAACCTTGATCTTAATGTTTCTTTCTTGATCCATAACCTCATGTTTTCATATAATTCATCTCAAATATGCTAGTCCCCTGCTTTAGTGTTTGTGGGCTCATAATGTTCCCTGATTACGTGGATGTGCATAGCCACTTGTCTTATAAAATCAGCTGTTACACAAGCACAGTCACGGATCTGTAGGAGGATCAAGCTCTTAGTGTTTCAGAGATTGACCTTCATGAAGCAGTTAAGATACTGAGATAAAGCATTACTTTATTGCAGAAATAGGGCCAAATCCCCAGCTTGCAAAAAGAAGCATTTTTCCATTGTAACCGATGGATCTATATTGATTTACACTGGCTGAGGATCTGGCCTATTGTGTCCCTCACATAACAGACAAAGAGGGCTTTGTGCTGCAACACTCTTATTTTTAACATAGCCACAGGTCTGAACTCTCACTTCTAACATAAATTGTACAAATTATCAGCTTTATTTTTGCTTTCAAAATGTGGCAATGAATCAGTAAACATAAGTGAGCTAATCCAAGGAACCAGTGCACCCCTCCACGTGTGGCATCTTTTAAGACAGTTGAACTTTCCTAGTAAAATGCAAAATAGACACCAATGGATTGTAATGATTGTCACCGGCATGGTGTTCCAGGGCTCCATCCTTTGGATTGCCTTAGGACCAGGCTTCTCCCCTCCCTTCCCTCTTCCCCCCACATTAGCTACTGGAGAGTTGGGAGAGACCCAGACCCATTACTCTGGGTCCCAGCCCAGGGACCCTGTAAATAGCAGTTGTGTGCTGTGTCCTGTTCATTGAAGTTCTACTGCTATTCTCACTACCGGAGCCACTTCCCCATGGCCCTGCACCATCCCTGCCCTTACCTCAGGGCTCTGTCTCAAAGTCCCACCAGTACCCTATCCAGGGTTCTGCAACTCTTTCCACCAGCCAAGCCCCAGTCTTCAGTAGCTGACACTGGGCCTCAGTCCAGTCCTCAGTAAGCTTTCCACAATGAACTGTCCATGGAACTGCCACCGCTCTCGAAGCCAGCCAATCACCTGGTCCTCAAACTACAAAGAGGAACTGCCTGGCTCTGGCCCAGCAGCTTTCTTTATACTAGCTTGTTGGGCCCTGATTGGCTGTATCTCATACCACCGTTCCAGGGAACTTTGAGGACTTTTCTACTGCTCTTTTTCTGAGGTCGGGTGTGGCGAGGCCATAAACTTTCAGCAGTGGGCTTTGGGGCCAAGTCCATCCTGTCACACAAATAGAGAAATTGTGAATTTTTGTTGCATTTCTGTATGACAGTGTTTTGGTCAGGACCAGGATGTGCCTCCCACCACAGTGAGGCACTCCAGTTATAATGGACAGAATGCGGTTATGGTGATAGAGAATATAACGGCAAAAACAAGAGCTTCTGCTGTGATCTATTGGAGAATACCATGAGAGTCTATGTAGTTTCCCACGTCTGATCATGAAAGTACCCTATGCATGGCATTACTTCTAACTACCTCATGGAGAGTAATAGAGTGCCTCTACATTTAGCATTAAATTTTTCTGTCCTTCATTTTATGCTTATAGAACATTTCAACATTGTATTCTGGTGGTGGCATCTGATGAAAAGCAACCCTTAATTCAGCCACCTTATCACCAAACACAATACACAAACACACACATTCCCATTCCTTATATAATGATCATCATGAATCTGATTCCCCTTTAGAACAGAAACATGACCATCAGAAGAAGAATAGCAGTGGAATGCTAGCACAGAGAGACACTAAGATTTGGTAATCACTTGACACATAAAAAAAGAGTTTCCATCTGGGTACTGCACTTACATCCCTAAGACAATATTTGGGGAAATACTTGGTCTGCCTGTTACTGAGAGGTGAGAGAGTGCATCAGGAGTCGGGGCTAGCAAATCTTCAGGAAGCTTCATTTCCTGCATTGTTATACTCCTGCTTGCAGTAATAAGTGATCACATACACAACCTAAAGATGCATGCATACTCTATGAGTACAACTGCAGCACCTTCTGTGAACTGTGGAGAACTTATAACAACTGACCAAAAAGCAAAAGATTATTCATAAAATAAAGAAGTTTTTTTTTGTCTCGCAAAAGGAAAATTCAAAGCAAAAAAAAAAAAAAACCCCAAACAAACAAAAAAAAAAACCCCAAAAAACCGGTGTGGCTGGAAAAGGGCTGTTTTCCTTTACACTTACTCTGATTCCTTTCTCTCTCCCTCCAAAGTAATTCATGTGGGAGTATCTCTTTGTGAAGATCTACAGATAAAGTTATGGCAGGAATCCAAAGACATTCATGGCTCCTGGCAATCTGTTTTCCTTTAACATAATTATATCCTTGTGGGGGATAAATCTAGAAGAAGATAAAAACACTTCAGCATAGAGAGGAAAAAAATCTGATTTCAGGCTGCTGCATTGTTGTGTTATGGTACTCTGTTTCTCATGTCCCAGGTAATTGGTAACAGGGAAATTGTTTCAGAAATGACTGTATATGCAGTTAACCTTCAGTGCACGGGGGTGCGGGTTGGTGGTTTTTTTTCAATATATATTAATTCTTGTGTCATACTCATTATACTGTTCTTGCTGCTTACAGCCTCAGGAGCTAGCCCTCCATAAGAGCTTTTCTCCTGCTTTCATTTGGACTGCAAGGAGAGTGCTGGCTTTTTCAGGGGCATTGTGCTCCCTTGGTGATGCACTCAGAACCTTATTCAAACCTTTTCCTCATGTGCTTGTGTAACACTCTCTTCCTTAGCAAATGAATGTTCTCTGAAGCTTGACAGGCGCATCATGCTTTAAAAATGATTATGCCCTTCAGATAAAGAAAAAGAAGAAAGGTCTGAAATAAAATCTTGTTTCTTGAACCTTCCAAAGCAGCCTCCAAATTTAATTACATAACTGAATGGTGTTAAACTTGTGCTTGTGTTTGGTTGGCTCTTCTGTGATGCCTGGAGAGGTAATAGACAGAGGATATAGAATCCCTGCACTCTCTAGTCAGGGACGATTCCGCTATTTCAGTTGCTGTGGTATTTGTAATTTAATATGGCCCAATAATCACATTTTATAGTTTAAATGAAATGGGCGTGCCTTTTATTTATACCCTGCTGATCCAAGCCTAGCTCCTCCGTTATAGATCTGCAACATCGACACTTTGTATACTGCACCCTAATCAAAAGGCGTGGAGGTAGGAGCAGTCCTCAGTTAATCAGGAGATCTGGGATCAATTCAGAAGCTGGAATTATTGCCAGGTTTAGACTACATGCTATAATTTTTCTAGGAAGCAGGATAGATACAAAATTCTTGTTGGAATTCTTGTTGCACCCTTAGATAAACCCTTAGGATATAAGGATCTCTAGCTTTCATCACAGGGAAGTAAAACATGTGACATAGAGATGTTTGCATTGGTCCAAAGCTAACTTGATTCTAATTATTACAAAGTATATAGAGTGTGGAGCATTTACATCTCAATTTCCATATTTATTATGTTAATATTATATACAAATAAAACAAATGAATACACAGGAATGGACTGTCCATAGTTTAGAATCTTTTACTGTTCACAAATGTCATGGTTTGCAGGAAGAATTAATGAAAAATTAGCGAGGATAGAAGGAGGGATACAGATAGGAGAAAAAGGATAAGATTTTAGAGAGGGAAATATAGGGTGCATATTTTTACCTGTTTTAGGCTGTGGAGAAGGCTTGCAAACACAGAACACCAAACTAAATAAGACAGAAATAAATGCTCTGTAGGAAGCAGTCCTGAGCAGGCAGGGCAATGGAGTAGGTGACCCCAATAGGAAGGAAAAACATATCTCTAACATCTGTGATTCCATATGATTGCAGTTCCTTCGGCTCCCCCTGAGAATGTATCAGCTGAAGCTGTAAGCTCCACCCAGATCCTATTGACATGGACATCAGTACCTGAATCAGAGCAGAATGGACTTATCCTGGGCTACAAGGTACACAGTTGAGGTTTCATGCTATAAAGGGGGTTTTAATACATTTGCTGGGCTGTTTTTCCCTTTGATAGCTATTATCTACTAGATGCATATTAATTTACCCATTTCTCTTTTGAGAAAAGTCAGGAAATGTGCGCTTTCTTCAAAGGAGTGATCTGATTGGCTTAGGGTATGTATACAAGTGAAGCTGGAGGTATAAACTACACTAGCTCTGATCAAGTTAGTATGCTAAGAATAGAGTGTTGCCACGGTCACATGAACAGCAGCAATCATAAGAGTGTTATACATACCATTCCATTCCATGCCCCAGCTTCATGTCTAGTCTCACAGATGGGTGTGTACTTGGGGTAGCTAGCGTCTCCTGCTGCTCCCATCATGAGTCTATATTCTCTTTGTAGCATACTAACGCTGTCAGTATTAGCATCGGTAAGTCTCTTTGAACTGCAGTTTACACCGACAGTTCAAAGCAGAGACCATAGAAAGGAATATCAGGCAGGACCCTGGAAGAAGCCTGCTCATAACGCACCCCTTCATCCCAGAGTCACTGCAGTTCAGTCACCAGAAATGAGGGCAAAGAGTCCAGTAGAGTTGCATTGTTTCGAACAATGGCCTTTGTCTTCTAAAGTCATAATCTCATGGGTTCCAGTTTGCAGTATCCCTGATTTCCCTTCACATACCCAGAACTTCATGGCTTACCCTCTGTTATATAAAGCCTATGCTCATGTCCTTGGGATTACCTGTCTATACAAATGAATTCAGTTGAATCTGTTGCGTTAAGCTCAGGAACTCCCCCAAAATGCCTACCCTCTTTCTCGCAGTCTTTTTGGATAATGACAACCATACTTTTTCCTCTTGTGTTTATTCCTCAGATTCTATTTAAAGCAAAAGATTTGGACTCTGAACCAAAAGCCCAAATAGTGAGAGGTAACCACACCCAGTCTGTCCTGCTGGCCAGCTTGCGGAAATATGTGCTTTATGAGATTCAGGTCCTGGCGTTCACACGTATTGGAGATGGAGTCCCTAACTTCCCTCCAGTCATAGAGAGAACCAAGGATGATGGTAAGTGTGTGGGTCACTCAAGTGTTCTTCCCCTTCACTCTAACATTTCTTTTAAAATAAAATTGGTTTTCCTTATGCAAGCTTTAAAATATAGCCTGGATTTGTTTTAAACATAAATGGCCTTAGCCTAGGCTAGTGTCAGTTAGCACAGCATTGTGGGCATGCTGAGGTTCTGGGCCCAAAAACTTAGAACATTCCCCCCCCCCCATAACTGATGACAGCAAAACCTTTGTTTCTCACTCATTAAAACCTCATATAGCTAGTTCCAAGCTGAAGTTTGACAGCCCAATTATGCACTTCCACAGAACTGCAATCTTAGCGCTAAAAAAAGAAATGCTATAATAGGACACAATAAACAAATCCAACCCTGACTGAACCTGACGGTGATATGAAGTTTGGCATTCCAGTAAGAGGGTCTACACCAGGGCTGGGCAATAAGATGGAGGCAGTTCACCAGGGTTAGCCCCTGGCAGGCCGCTGCTGCTTTATTTACGTGTGCCTCCTCAGGTGCGAGCACTTCCAGTTTCCATTGGCAGTGCATCACCATTCCCAGCCAATGGGAACTGTGGAAAGTGGTGCAGGCCGGGAGCTGCAAGTGTGTGTACTTGTGGAGAGACAGGTAAATAAAGTGGCTGTTCTCCAGGAGCTCACCCTGGCGAACCACGTCCAGCCTGCGGATTGGTTAATCATAGAATCATAGAATACTAGGACTGCAAGGGACCTCAAGAGGTTTATACTAATGCTGGTCTATACCAATGTTCTGCAAGAGCATACCCCATGCTGCCTTTACTAGGGAAGGTACTTTGACTAGACAGAAGAGGATGAGAAAAGTCCAAATGTATGCACAGCAGAGAGGGGTTCCCCCCTCCCCTTCATTTCTCTGCGTAGCCATTGGCTGGGGAAGAGGGGATAAGGAGAGAAGACTGCCTGCTGTGTGCCCCCTTTGCCCCAGCTGCTTTGGTGGCCCTGCTATCAGCCACGTTGATCACTGCAGGTGTCACGGCAGTCACAGAAAACCATGGAATTTATGACTTCCACAACCTCCATAATTTATAACATCACTTA